TAAAAAAAGATTCATAGAAGTGAAATTAAGTACCTCCGTGACACAAAAAGGCGGAAGGAAATTCACTGAGAACTTTTACAGTAGCGACCTCGGCCTGCCGAGATCAGGAATGGTTTTAATTTTCCTCTCTAAACCCTTTCCTGTCTCATGCATTTTCTACTCAAGCATGTGCTGCTTTTAACATTGGCAAAACAGGATTCCTTTAAAGTAATTCAAAGAATGACTTAAAAACCAAGTCCTCGCGTAATTTGGCAGCTCTAAGTATTGATTAAAGGAGCCCAGAATACGTATTCTAAATTGTGGGAGCCTAGATTGATTGTAACTTCTGGTAACCTTTCAAGCGGTCATTGTGTCCTCTCAGAATTTAGCCTGAGGACTGAGTTTTATGCTTCAAAAGATGATTTTTGCTTTTTATTTGTCTATGATTTAGAAAAGCAAGGAAAAGGATTTTATCAAAGTCAATCAGATGAATGCAATCCAATTACGAACCTAAATTTGCAAAAAATAAAAAAATAAGAAAAAGAAAATAAATTTGCCTTTGACCCGGTGTTACTTTATTTTTTAATTTTTTTTTATTGGAGTTCAATTTGCCAACATAGAGCATAACACCCAGTGCTCATGGGGTGACTGGGTGACGGGCACTGAGGGGGGCACTTGATGGGATGAGCACTGAGCGATGTTACTTTAAAAAAGAGGAATCTTTATGTCTTTGCGAATGATACCCAGCACACCTGTGGAGCTGCTCTAACTTGGCCTCCAAACCGTCAGGTCAGTGACGTTGGGATGAAGTGTTCTCCAGGGACTGGCAGCGAGGCCTGGGTCTCCAGGGGAGCCTGCAGCCCCTGGCACGATGGAAGGGGCACCCCCTAGCCTACACCAGGGCCTGCCAGGGTCTCCCGTGAGCCTTCCAAAGACACCTCACATTTACTGCGAGCCTCATGTCAGCCTATTCTTTTATCAAGGGATGATCTCCAAGAGTATAATGCAGGCATCGCATTAGCCTACTTTTTTGAAAATTAGGATTTTAAAATTTTAAATATTTATTTTGGATGATCTCAAATGGATTGCTTTCTTTCTTTGCTTTCTAATATATTTGTAATGAGGCTTTTTTATTATAAAAAATACTTTTTTAAAGAAAAGACTCCCAATAGCACAGAATATAAAATAAAAAGTAGTATCACCACACTAGTCCCCAGACGTAGCCATGCTAACAGTTTCCAGTGTATCCTTCCAGAAATTTCTCCATGCACATACAAACATGTTTAATAAGTTAAACATGTGTATGAATACGTGGGTGTATGTGGGTATATTTTACAGATTTCAGCTTATTCGGGGTTATAACTGTACACGGTGCTTTCGACTTGGTTTTGTCACCTACCAGTAAATTGGACTTTAAAACGTAAAGCATCGTTTCGTTTATAGGAAATGTATTTGTGGAAACCTATTCTCTGCAGCCCTCAGAGAAGGGGAGGGAAGTTCCTGATGACTGGGGTTCATGAACACATGCTGTATCTTTCTCACTATAAAAATGAATTTTATTGTTAACCTATGTGATTTCATCAGAAGATTCATTTCTTTCAAAACTATGCCTTTCCACCTAAATTTCCACGATCACCCCCAAATCACCCCAAGTATATTTCCTCTGGACACAGTTATGTAATTGGATAAGAGTGGAATGCTGCGAGACCGTGGCTTGGCGGTTCACTGCTGACACGTGGAGTTCATACACTCCTCCCTTCTCAGCACCAGGCTTGTCCTCACTGGGTTTGCCACTGACTGGGGGAGGGGCACGTGAGTGAGCACGTGGCTACAGCACCATAGAAACAGTAAAGGCCTAGTGTAGAGGTCTAAGCAACCTGTGTTTCTTCACAGCCCCTTGGGGGGTAGGTGTGAGTCTTGTCCTCAGAGCACAGATGGGGAAACCGACCCACCGGGAAACTACGTGACCTGCCCAAGGCTACACACTGGTCTCCAGTCTGTGTTCATTATGCAAACGTTCAGGGGCAGGAATGGTGGGTGCAGGGCTAGTCGGAACTCAAGCAGGAGACAGGGAGGAGTTCTGGAGGGAGACTCTTTAGGGAGGGTTTTCATAAAGAGTCTCAACTTGAAAATGAAGGTAGTGAGGCAGAAGAGGGGTAGGAGGAAGCAAGAGGAGATGGATGAGTGAGGACATTGCCTGAGTCCTTGAGCCTCAGCCTCTAGGGCTCTTGATGGGGGAGGAGGTGAATGCTGAGACCCTAGCAGAACTCCCAGAGCAGCTGAGTAGAATCTAGGAACATCTGGGCTGTGCTTCTCTTCCTGCTGTGGGCAGCATGGTGGATGGGGTTGGAGCGGGTCGGATGGCAGTGAGGAGGAGGGGACTCGGTCAGTGAGGGTCTGAAGGAGCCTGCCCATGCCCCAAGGCTTGGGCATGACACCACCTGTGCTCCTGGGGGATGTGGGGGTCCCAAAAGAACCAGCATCCCAGCAAAGGTGTGCTCAGAAACAAGAGGCCGGGATTGCGGGTGCTCAGTGACTGGGGGCCTGTGGCAGAAATCACGGAAGGAAGCCCTCAAGGACCAGGTGGGATGGCCACCCTGTGTTGGGCCAGATAACTCCACCGCATTCCTGCGGGACCTGGCCAGGGGATGGACAACAGCACGTGCCCAGACATCGTTCACTCATTATCCAGCCCCCAGTGGTTGGCGTGAGGGCTTAATCTGCCTTTGTCATCAGATGCCATAAGGAGAAGAGTGGTACAGTACTCTTGAGAGGCATTTGCATTGACTCCAAATATACTCAAAACAGACAGTTAACCTGAAAGGGACTATTTCAAACCAGAAGACACTGAGTACCTATGATGGGCAAAGCTAAGTTTTTCTTAGTCTGTGAGCAGAAGAGGGGACAGTTCAAGGATGGGAAGTTAGTGATGGGAATACTGGGTTTTGATATTTGGATAACAGAAAAACATGCTATTTAAGAACTAGAAAACACTGATATCTTTGCTGATATAACACCATTACATTTTAATGGGATTATATATAATTAATATATATATATATATATACACATAAAGTGTACAGTTTGATAAGTTCTGACTATACCCATGAAACTGTGACCAGAACGGAGGGCGGACGGAACAAGATGGAGAAAGGAGAGCCAATGTGCACATATATGCCTCCCTCTCTGTTAAGAGCTTTATTTACCTCGTTTTGATCATTCTTGGCACAGAAATAATACAAATATTTTAAATATCTTTTCATTGAAAATGTCCCATTTTGCTATAACATATCCTTGACAACAAAGATATAAAAAGAAAAGCTCACCAGTTTAATCAATTTTGAAGGTTTAAAAATCATCAGGATTTTAAAATTGTATTTGTATAATAAAGGACAGAACTCCCCAGCTGAAAGCGATTAATTGCTATATCAAACATTCATAAAGTTTGTGATAAAACTTAAGTGTGATTGAGGGAACAGGGCATTTGAATCCCATACAAAGTTACCGCAAGAGGGTATATGATGGCTGAGATGTTTCTAAATTGCTCTAAAAGTAACCAATAGATAGTTGATATCTATTGCTGCATAACATGTTATATCAGAACACATTAGTGATGGAAACAATGCACGTTTATGTGGTCATTGTTTCTGTGGGGAGGGACCAGATGCGGATGAACTGGGTTCCCCTGCCTCTATGTCTCTCACCAGGCTGCAGACCAAGTGTCAGCTGGGGCTGTGGTCTCATCTGAAGGCTCACCTGGGGGGAATCCACAACCAAGGTCATCACGTGGCTGTGAGCAAAAGTTAGTACTTCCCAGGCTGCTGGAGTGAGGCCCTTGGCTCCCTCCTTCATGGGTCTCTCCCTTGGCCAGCTCAATGCAGGGCAGCCGAATTTCTCAGAGTAGGAGGTGGCGGGGGGGGGGGGCAAGAGAGGCAGGCCAGAAGGCAGTGACACTCCATTACTTTTGCCCCTGTTTTTCCTTCAGAAGGATGTTTTGGGTCTAGATCACACTCAAGGGGAGGACATTACAAGGAGCAAAAGGTGAGGTCACTGGAGGTCATCTCAGAGGCTGCTCACCATGGTTATGAATATTTTTTAATGTAATATTTTGAGGAGAAGTTTCATTTTTTGTTGCAGATAGTTACATTTTCCAGTTCTGATAAGCTAACCAAAGTTGGTATCTGAGCATCTCTGAGCCCAACAGGATGTGGCACATTACCCGTTAAATGGAACAGATGGCCAGGTCTGGCCCTCACGGCTCCTGGGATTGATCACTACAATCCACCCTCTTGTCTCCCCCTCTTGAAATAAAATAGATTTAAAAAATTTCTCTAATTAAATTTTCTACAAAATGTTTGTCCCACTGTGTAGAAACTTCTGTGTTCCCCGAGTGTTTGTTCTACTATGTGTGCTTCTCTAAAAACGAATACTTTCCAAAAATGCTCTTTTGTAAGCAAACTTTAAATCACTTAACATTTCACTTAGGAGCATTAAAGAAGATGCTTCATACAGGAAGGCCTGGGGCCTTGTCCCCAGAACTACTATCCACCCATCATTTCAAGGAGGCTCAGGGCCTCTGTGACAGGTCACAGATTAAGCAGCTGTCTCAGAGAATTCTGACAGAGCAGAGCTGTGATTGAGAATCTCAAGGCTCATGCAGGTGGAGAGGCTGACCAGACCCCAGAGGGGAAGGCCACAGGACCAGCTTGTGCCTGGACCCCTTGGCTCCAGACAGACCCTGGCCCATGAAATCCATCCATGACATTCAATTCCATGCAATCATAGGAGCATCCTATGGCCCTTATTTTTAAAAATACCAATACCAAACACCAGCCCAAAAAGCAATCTCATTAAAAAAAAATTAGTTCCTGAATGCTTAGCCTTGACATTTCACTCTTCTAACACAAAGCCCAAAGCTCCGTGAATCTATATGGACATGCTGCGGTGCTTGAACACCCATAAGAGCCTCAGCCTCTATAGAGGAGATGGTCAGGATAGAGCTCTGTGCTGCTGGCATTTACCTGCATTCGATGAACCAATGCCGGATCTGGTCTTGAAGGTTCTCCTTGATATCTGGACCTTCTAGTAATTTCAGGTCATCCTTGATTGTAACCAAGGCTTCTTTGTAGTTCGTCTCATGCTTTATCTGCATCTCATTCCTCAGAGAGGCCACCTTTTCAGCCTGGATGACTGTAGCACTGACTTCATTAAACAGAGGAGGTGGATTCTGAAAACACAAGCAAAAATGTTTGAGATCATAAAGGCTATTGTGCCGGTAAAGGGCATCGGGCACCAATGAAGTATGTCAACATCTTTGATGCTGCCTTATCAAGGCCTACAAGAAATACATACGAAACAAGAGAATCAGATCTAAATCCAAAGAAGTGATTCACCACCATGGGGAGGAAAGATGGGGATCCCTTAGTACTGTTTCCCAGAACCTGGGTGGCAGAAGCTAACTTGAAAAATGTATAGTCAATACATGATGAAAAAATACTGTTCAAATTCCAGAAAGTAAAGCTTTTGCAGATCTTCGAGGTTGATGGGAGAGCAAAGAATATAGAGGAAGAAGGATTTGAAGCGAGACTGGTGAAAAGTTTGGGTGCTCTGATTTCAAGAAAAGCTACCCCCAACCCAACTCTGCAAACATCCTTTCTATTGTTAAAGTTCTCCCAAGTAGGAAATTCTCAGATGACCCCACACATTCAGCACATTCAGTGCTAACATCTTTTTGTTAGAATGTTCTCCTTCAAAATCTGTTGGTTAGCAAGTCAACAGAAGCTGGCTATTAAGCACCAATCAAAAGCACAGCACTGGTCTATCATCAAACGCCTACAGGCGTGTAGCAGGAGAAAACACAAAATCACTTTGAGGGGCGCCTGGCTGGCTTAGTCAGTCTAGCATAGGACTCCTGATCTGATCTCAGGGTCGTGAGTTCAAGCCCCACGTTGGGTGTTTTCTACTTAAAAAAGTATAAATTGATGGGATCCCTGGGTGGCGCAGCGGTTTGGCGCCTGCCTTTGGCCCAGGGCGCGATCCTGGAGACCCGGGATCGAATCCCACGTCAGGTTCCCGGTGCATGGAGCCTGCTCCTCCTTCTGCCTATGTCTCTGCCTCTCTCTCTAGCTGTGTCTCTATGAATAAATAAATAAAATATTAAAAAAAAAGTATAAATTGAAATCAATTACTTAGAAAAAAGATATTCTTAAAGACTCAATTGATGCCCTATATCAAAATGAATTTCACATAGATGCAATACATAATTGTAACAAGTATGCATGTGGCACACACACTCACACACCCCACAATTTCCCTACGAATCTCTGGGAATAATTTCTCGACTAGAAACCACACTCGAGATGCCGTTAGAATACAGCACCCACTTAACAACACAAAGTCAGTGAAAAAGATGAAAAAAATTATAATACTTTGAAAATATGCCTTAGAAAGTCTAAGGAACTAATCCAATGATCTGAGTTCAGAATAATGAAAACGTACAACTTTCATGGTAAGAAAAAAAATGCTAAAACCACTTTAAAAGTGAATCTAGAATGAAAATTATAGGATCACTTGAAAGAACAATGTTAAGAACAAATGAAGTAAATGCCCTCCCTATGCAGGTGTTCAGGGCATGACTATATTATGTATCTTGTGCCAAAACACACAGAGAGAAATTTTCTTTATCTAATCATTTAAAAAAATACCCAATTCTTTTATCTTCCAGCGTTTGCATTTAAATGTATGAAGTGGGAGTTTATAATGCACAGAGCAATTTTTATTGGATCTCTCCAATGATTATTTTAAAGTTCATGGTTTTCATGAAGATGTTAAAATAGATCTCTACTATAAATGACCCAAATTTCTTCTTTGTCTGTGATGAATGTGCAAACGTGTTTTGAGGTCTTGCATCCATTTTCTGATCTGTCAACCAATCGCATGCTATTGCTTTATTCCCAATAATGTTAGTTGCTCTTATGGTAATTCAGAGCAGATTTCTTTGGCAGATGTACATGGATAAACTATAGTGTAGCTGGTCTTTCCCCCTTTCATACCCTAAAAAATGAAGCAATGAGTAGGTGGCTCTGATTTGGGTCTTGGCAATAGCTCTATGACACTATGAAGCATTCCGCCAATTTCCTAGTGCTTCCATGATCTCCGAGTGGGCAGAGAAATCTCTCAGCTCTTGCTGGATTTTTCTAATGATGCTAGTGGCATGGTGCTCTGTCCTCTGCATTCTCTTTCTACATTTCCTTGCTGATGTTCACATGCATTTTGGAGGTAGAAATGAGGACGTGACCATCCCATTGAACAGATGAGGACACTGAGGATCGTACCTAAGTGGCCCTCCCAAGTCATTCTACCTTAATGAAGAAGCTGGCAGGAAGGTTTCCAGATTCTTTCCGTTCTATGTTTCTCCTATTACACCATGCTGTGCCGTTAATATGTGTGTATTCATGCATGGTTCTTGGTATAGACTTTCTCCCACAAAAAAAATACATTTGGGGTCATTTGTAGCTTCTTTCTCTAGTCGCTTTTGAATTTAAAGGTTATAATATATTTAGGTCCTATGTTAATGAGCAGCTTTTCCTTTGGGCTAAAACATCTTTTCCTCGTTAGCAACTTTGGTCATATGGAATTCAAATTTGTTAACTCACCGCGTAAACAGCAACTCATTTAAAAATAAATTACGAATATTAGAGGGAAATAGAGAACATGATAATACACTATATATTGAAATACATCAGCTGTAGAATAATGCATCTTAATGAAGGCTTCCCATGTGAATAAACCATTATATTTACAAGCTTTCCACAGTTAATGACCCGGAACGGGATAGCGAAACCTACGTTGATAGCAAGGTCCTCTGTCAGCAAAAATATACATATTAATAATTGATGTTGCTGTTAAAATAGGACATCTGATGATGCTTCCCGGGTTTGTGGGGAAATAGGACGCCACGGTCCATTAACTTAAAATGCTTATCTAATGTTTGATGGGCTTTGTCTTTAAAAATCCTTGTTCGAATTAAGTCAGATAAAATGGACATTTGTCCACATGAAGATCTGTTCAATTTATCAGTCACAAATATATGGGCAGATGACTGATTTAACGCCGGCAACTTTCTCCAGAAGCCCATTGTCTTGGGGTGGGGGGTCGGTGTGGCTTCCTCGTGGGGCTTTGTTGTCACTGAGGGCAAAGCAAGGAGGGGAAGGGGAAGCATCTCCTCCAAGCAAATGGCCATCCTGTGAAATCTCTTGCTGTCGTCCACGCAGAGATTAATTAGTGCCAGGCCTACTGAACGCAGCGTGGGCTGGGGTTCATTAGGAAGCATTTAGAGGCAGCTCGGTGGGCTCCCCACTCCCGCCACGCGCTTCCTGCTCTAATTTTGCACACGGAATGAATGCCTCACGCTGTGAAGGGAGCTGCTCTGCGGTTGGGCCATTTCAAGACGGTGTGTGGGGTGCTCCTTAGTTTATGAAAATAAGCCATTGTGTCCCATCATTTCATTTAGAGCAACGCATCTCTATTTGCACGTCTGTTTATACAAATATACCTGCTTGTAAAGATGAACGCAGCAGCACGAGTGGGGAAAAGACTGTACGCAGAGCCACAGCCAATGGTTTTCTTGGGTCCTCTGCTCAGAGTGGTGATGGTAGGTCCTGGTTTTAGGATGCTGCAAGTTTAGTGGGTGCAAAACTATGAAATAATAATTTTTTTCCTTTTTTTTTTTCCAGCCCGTGAACCCAACTTCTAAACATGGTTTAGTAATTTTAAGATTTGCTAAATTAGGAGTGGAGCCGGAATGGTCAAGTTGAGTTTCCAACTGATTAGTGATGGAAGCTTCAGCTGCTACTTTTGTGTCTTACTTTTTAAAAAATATTTTTTAAAATCAACACATTGATGATGGCACTTCTGGGGATGAGGCATGATTTTAAGTGATTTACAAATATTGACTAATTCATTCCTCCTAATAAATTTATGAGTAGGTGGCACTATGATCTTCATTTTATTTTTTTATTTTTTAAAAAGATTTTATTTATTTATTCATGAGAGACAGAGAGAGAGAGATAGAGAGGCAGAGACACAGGCAGAGGGAGAAGCAGGCTCTATGCAGGGAGCCCGATGGGGGACTTGATCCCAGGACCCCAGGATCATGCCCTGAGCCGAAGGCAGATGCTAAATCTCTGAGTCACCCAGGTGTCCCTGATCTTCATTTTATATGAGAGGAAGCTGAAGTTTCTGGAGGGTCAAGGAGCTTGCCCAGCATCACACAGCCATTCAGTGGGAGACTGGGGCTTCGGCCTGAGGGCTGTTTCTGGCATCTCTGCTCTTACCCTCTATGCATGGCTTTGTCTTCTGGCTTAATGCATCTTGTCTGAAAATGGTTTTTTTATGGGTATTATAGATCATACTTTTTAAGAAAATGTGCATTTGTAATTTTGATAGATATTGCCAATCTGCCTCACAAACATGTTACTAGATTTATTATCCCAACAGTGTAGGACAGAGTCTGTCTTTCGACACTTTGCCAATATGGTGACATTAACCCTTTTAGTCTTCGCTGACTTAAATAGATTAAAAAAAAAAGGCAATTAGTAAGTATTTTTGGATCATGAATGATGTGAACAACTAAACCCATGATATTAAACCATTTGAGGAAAAGCAACAGCTAACACTCACCTAGTGTTCCCCATGTGCAATGTGAAAGCCGCTGTTTTAAAAGCTTTACAGATAGCAATTTCTTGAGGAATCAACACAAATCTACAAGCAAGGTGCTAAGACAATCTCCATCTTGCAAATGTGGAAATCGCGGCACAAACAAGTCAAGTCACCACCCCAGTTCCCAACAGCTAGGATCCCACAGATCCTAGAACCAGGATCTGAACACAGGCAGGCTGACTCCAGAGTTCTCAGCCTTAACAACTCTACTGGCTGCATTAACAGACTATGTAATGGGCCCTAATCCAAGATAGATACAGACAAATGTCCTGTCCTAGGATGGAGGTATAGGAATCCTGGGATCAGGTAACAAAGGGAGGGTAAGAAAAGAACTCTTTTCATCATGTAATTTCTGATGATCTGGGGATCCGGGACAAGAGTAAAGCAGAATCACAACAGTAACAACCTAAAAATCCAACTAAAAGTTCTCAAGTAACTAGACTGGAAGATCCCATTTAACAGAAAACGATGTCCTGCCTCAAGTTCTGACCTCCATGCTCCGCCTAA